CCATCTTTTCCAGGAATTCCGGGTGCTCCATCAGGTCCTGGCGGACCTTGTTGACATGTACAACACATAGCTTCTGCCTGACGTGTTGTACGCAAGATGATGTTAAGACCGTCGTCTGCCTCTTCCGGTGACATATCAATCATTTCTCGCCACATATCTCGAGACCGAGTTTTGCAGTATTCGATTTCTCCCTTGAATTTTAGTTATTGTTTGTAAAAAAAACACAGTTAACAAATGTCGTTTTGCAAAAGATGTGGAGATACTGTGAATGAAAGTAAATCAGCGATTAGTACCTGTACTGTGGCTTGTAGCGTTTGAATATAGTGAAATACCATGGGAAAGGTAAAAATGCATGCTGTCAGTGCAACTGTTGAAAAAACAACGGCTACGAAAGCAACAGAACGGAGAGATGTTTTCTTCTCCATACTTATTTTTTGAAACGAAAGAAAACGGAGAAAATCGTTAAACGGATTAGTAGTTTCTCTTATATACGTCGCGATAGGCTGTCATCGCGTAAGCATATGATAGAAACCGGTGTTCAGGATGCTGGAACATTTTATGTAACACCTCGATGATCGTTAGACGATCGTTTTGCACTGCGCCAAATTGGTTTCCGTGCACACTTATGCCTTGTTATTGGGCGATGCCTCTACGAAAACAATATAATTGTTTTGCTTTTTGCGTCTCTTAAACCGCATTGAACTTATTGTTAAAAAATAATAAATACATATATAAATTGACATGTTTTTACATAGAATATGAGGTACAATTCAACAAATAATAGATTCAGAGTTGGATTTACAGAAAGATAAGTACATCATAAAAAGTTCGTCTAGAAAAGATGTTTAGACTTTAAATTAAGGAGGGTGAAATATGGAGTCAGCAGTGTTTCAAATTCGTCATTCAGTTTTTAAAACACAAAAAATTTGCATCTTTTTACCAGTGGAAAAAAAGTAAGATTTGCTTTTTTAAATATGATTAGGTATCTGTAGATTTAAAGTGCAAGACATAACTTGTCGGACCAACCCATTGGTTGTCATCTTAATTACAAAAAAATGGTCACCTGTCTCACGCTGTTGTTAACACGCTTGTGTTTGAAGGAGTTTTCATTGGGGATTAGTGGGTTTGCACGAGAAGCTGAAATCGTTAGTGTCATGAAATTTGCCAGTCTATAAGCTTTTAGCAATACCAACAAACGGACTTCAGCGTCATTTTTTTGCATCGTTGTTGAATGACAGAAATATTATGTGATGCCTGAGGAGAGTAGATGCCGGTGGGATGCGCTGCTGAACAAGTTGTGGTTTGCACCTTGAATTAAAAGCTTATATACAGATGGGGATACTTTGAGCGGCACTGAAGAGCTGCGAACCATTCATAATCCGTGTATGAGTTTTCTAGGTCCTGCCGGTGGTTCCTGGTAGTCTGTCAGATAAGTCATATAATAGATAAACGAAACGAAGAGGTATATGTGTATGTATTTTTTATTTGTCTCGTCAACTTAAATTCACAAGAGAATTTAGTCCCCCAGTGTATTGTTTTAAGAGAAGGGTGGATGATAGAGGAAGACTGGAAATGATTTGAACTGTGGTTCAGACTGTTTGGTACTGGGGG